TATTTAACAAATGGCTTCCTTTGCAAAGAGACAGAATATATCAACTTTAATATTATGAATCCACCGAATGATAGGCATATACATTTTAGCACAAACATCCAATAAAAATAAATACATCTGCAGTGAACATGGTAAATTATATGCGAACTTACACTATAATAATAAACAGGAAACAGCAGCATCTGAGTCTGCAACTGGCTTCTCAGGAGGCTCTGTGCTTCCAGCTGTGGTAGCAGCTGTGGATCTGGCTCTGGAACTCTTGCTGAAACAAGCTGACAAAGGGCTGATTGCAACATGGAGTTCAGTTTCTGCTTGGATTAATTTTCCTTTTAACACGCTTTGGTTATGAAAAAACTTTGCTCATTTACCCTCTTTGTGGTTTTATATCCTGCACTTCACAGTCATTGAGCTGGTGTGGTGATTATCGCCATTCCTAGTGAACTTGATCGTGGGGACCTTAGACTGTCTATACCATTTGTGGAACATTGCAATTGGTTTTGGCTTACTGGAAGAAATTGAAAACTCTCTTCCTCTTCCTTCTCCCTCCCCATCCCCAGAGGCTTCTCAGCATTTTTGTCCAAGATATTACACAGTAAAGTTGTTGGGGTTTATTTTTTTAATTGTTTTTATATGCATAGAAAACAATTTAGGAGAAAACCAAATGATACTCACCTGCAGTGGGATCTGTAGAACAGGCAAGAGACTGGGTAAACTCTGCCAGGTGAAACAAGTAGAGAACTTCTTTTTGTCACTTTTTATTAAAGGGGAGAGTTCTGATTTCACAGAACCTGAGTGAGCAAAACAGCATTTACCAATGTGTTCCTAAAGCAGCTGTATAGATACGTTCACTTGTTGCAGGTCCTTCTTTCCACCTCTGGTTGCATGCGCTCTTTTCTTGATTGAATGCTAAAGATGTAGTTAAGCTACTAAAACCTCTGGCCTTGATTCAGCAAAGATTTAAGCACATACTTAGAATTAAACACTTCCATTGCAGAGTCTGTTTTGTGAGCTCCCAGATATTTGGTTCTGCCCTCAGACTGTGGAGAGTCTCTGGTGAACATCCTGAGACTGTATGTTATTTCATACACAAAAAGACTGAGACAGTCTTTTTCGTTACCAAGTCTTTTTTTTCTTTCAGTCCTGCCATCTTTTTAGAAAACAGCTGTATTCTCCAACTTAATTGAATCTCCATATTAAATCCCAGTTGCCTCTGTAACTCATTGCTCAAACTCTCCCCTCTTTTTCCCTCTGCTGCTTTTCTTCACATAGAATCTTGCTTTTTCTCCTAAGGAAAAATAGATACAGTATGCTCTTCCTTCTGTCACTCTCTTCTCCCTCCCCTCCTCTAATCCTTTCTCTTTCTCCCCCACTATCAGAACAGCAGGAGTTTCTTGTCTACTTTCCATCTGTACCCCTTCCACTTACCCCAGTGCCCCCATGTTCTGCTGTTCCTCTTATTTCTCCCCTCCCTTATTCTCTTTCTTAACCTCTCACTGTCGTCTGGCTCTTTTCCACTGCAATATAAGCAAGCATTTGCCTCTTAAAAATTGCACCATTGACCCTACTTGGTTCTTTATATCATATCTCATCGCCTATCTCTTCTTCATTCCTAAGCTCATTGAAGGCGCTGTTTATAATTGCTGTCTGGAGACCCTCTTCTGTGATTCCCTCCTATAACTCCTACAATTTGGCTTCTGTTCCTTGCTTGCAACTGCAACAGCTCTCACCAAACTCCCTGCTGACAAGATCTCAGAAACAATAGTCTATCCTCATTCTTCTTGATTTGTCGGTAGTGTTTGCTGCAGTTGACCAGACTCTTCTTCAGATTTGTGTGTTTTGTTGCTTTCTGTGGCTCTGTCTTGTTAATTTTCTTTTTTCTAAGCAGTTCTTCAGCACATTCTTTAAAGTTGTCTCCCATTATGGAGGGGTGTGGGTGGACGTCTTGGGGCTCTGCTTTGGCTGCATTCTCTTGTGCTTTTAGTGCCTTATGGGTTATTTCATACACAAAAAAAGAAAATTTAACAGCCAAACATATCTGTAGATAACAGATCTGCCTTCCTATTGAAACCTATTTCCTCTCACTTAAGCTTATTAATTTGGAACCACACAAAATACAGTCACAAAGCATTCCACCCAGCGCTGCCTTAAGTCTAGATGTCTTGGCAAATGCTGAGACTAGACGTGTGATTATGTTCCCTCTTTCACACTAGGCATGCATGTTTTCCCCTTTCACATGCTAGGCTCTCTGTACCCCTGCTAGCTGTACTCAGCCGTTACCTGCATCTGTTCTAGCTTGCATTACTTTTTCTACAAAGTAGTCGAATTGCATCTCTTATTTCCAGTAAGAATATAGGAAGACCTATATTGGAATTTGGAATTTAACAGAATGGAATTTATATTTTATATTTTATTGGAATTTATATTTTATATCCCCTTAAAAATGCTTATGCTGATATATGATTGGAGTGCATTTTACTCTTTTACAGCCTCATTTTAAGCATTTCACTTTCTTTGTCATTGCCACCAGCTGAGTCCCATTTCTATTGCTCTTGTTCTTTCTCCATGATATCCCAGTGTTTTTTTTTTTTGTATTGACAGTATTAAGAAATTTAATGTTATCACCACATCTCTACTTTTCATGCCCATTCATTGAATGAAAATATTAGATGAAATTCTGCCAAGCTCATCCTTGATGAACTCTACTGAAAAACAGTTCTTTCATTCTCCATAGGACTTTCTTCTCTCTGTGGTAGGAAGTTCTTTACCTGTCAAATTCTTTCAGTAATCCCTATTTTCTCCAGTTCAATACTGAATTTCAGATGCCCAGATAGATTATATCTATCATAGTTTCCTTGTTTAAAATGTCAGTCTAGTCACAATGGTGTAAGCTTGCAGAGAGTTCATAATCTCGAACAGATTTGTACATTGTAGTAGGCAGATACCTCAGGTCACCACATACTTTCATGCCCCAGCAGGCCCAGCTGAATTATGTGAGCTCAGGCCAGTTTCTACTCACTGGTCTGAACCATAGGGAGTATTCCCTTGTTCTTGAGATACATTCTGGCCTGCTTTTACTTTTGTTTCCCCTACTCTATTCCAGATGTCATTCATGCCACATTATTGCTACCAAATGCATGTCTTCTTCACCTAGCGTATGTAGCCATTAGGAACATGTAAAGATATATGTAATTAAAGGGAACATGTGCACATACGTACTCTATGTTTTGCATTTACTTTGTATTTAGTACTGTTCTTACTTCATAAGTGTTGTGGCTGATGTTGCAAAATAATTTTCAGTGGAAGTCTGTGTCTTCACTAGCTCTAAGCACTGTAGTATTATGTAAAAAGCAATCCTGTGGGTCTGAAATTTTTTGTGCTTGGTTTCATTTGAAAAAAAGTGTATGCATAAAAAAGATTAAGGAAATTATCCTGAATTGTTTTTGAGTCATGTGTCACTGAAAAGCAGGGCAGTGTTATAACTGTTAACAGTAGCTACTCTTTTTGAATCTTTAATTTGGATAGGAAAATGTAGACTTTTTAAACTTTAAACAGTGACATCTAAATTGGGGGTGGTATTTAATGAAGTCTATGGCGAAGTTTCAAAAACCTGGTTTTCATAATGACATACAGATAATTGAAATCATGTCTAGTAGGCATCTGCACTAAAATTATGAGCAGCGTGTAATGGACCCAACGACTTTTGTGGAAACAAAATTAATTTCCATTTCTTTGTTAGGGCAAATCAAGTTATTTTTAGATTCAAGGTTTGCTTCGTTCTTACTGCTACTTTTAGTGTGTCAACACCGTACCTTCATATAAAGGATGGAATATGTTCTATGCATTAAAATGTTCATGGTTTTTTGACAATTTGTTTTTGCCTGTTACTCGTCCGTATTTCACATTCTATCAATCAGTTTCTCCTTCAACTGCAACAAAACAGTACATCCTTTACCCTACGGACCTCAACTACATACAAACTAGCATCTGTTCAGTCCCGCTTGCATTATACACTGTATAATTTTACATTATATCCCTCAGTGCAGAGGGAAAGGGGATGATGGGGGATCAATGAAGGCTCTTGTTCTTCTATTAAGCAGTTGAGCAACCTCCCACTGGGACTGGGGCTCTGCTTGCCTCCGAATCTGTTGTAAATCCCTTTACAGCCATGCTTATTTTGATTTTGAATGGCTGTTTCTTGTTAGTTTAATCCTATTCCTAATCAATTTAAGATAAACAATTAGAAGTTTAATTGGAATTTCATGGCTCTTAATTGTCATTAAAAAAAGGAAATTTAAACCGAATTCTACACTAACACAGCGTTAGGACTGAACAGTGGAGGCTCCATTGTGGCTTTCAATTTTTGTGCTTTCTGGAGCTGATAGCTGTTGAGAGACACAGTCTGGCTTCTCAGTTTCTTCTTGTCCCAAGGCATACCTAAACTACAGCTTGCAATGGAGCTGTAATTCTTCTGAGGCACTGGGACAGAAATGCCAGTACAGAGATAGAGGGTGAAAGCTACCCCATTCACCACAGTTCTAAAGACTTAGGAGATGGTGGGGTTGTTCTAATTGCTTGTGTCCATGTGTTGCTTTCTATGATCCTGGTACCTAGTACAAGGAAGAAAGTGATACCTTCCTCTGAATATCTTGTGTGGGCCACACAAGGCACAACTTTAGCTGGCTCTTACAACTTCAGAAGGAAATACCAGGAAAAATTGAAGTCTCACACAGCAGCGTTAGCTTGGCTACATTGCCAGTCCTTTACAAGTTGTGATATACATTGAGCATAAATAAAGCTATAAATCTCTGTACGGTGCTTTAAAAAGAAAATTGATAAACTTGCTATTTTCATCTGATGTAACTTTAACTTTTCATTCAAATCTTTATTCTACATTGGCTTAAACATTCAAAATTATATTTAACCTTTTTTTAAATGTAACATGGATGGATACACATACTCATATAAAACAGAAGTATCTTTGTGTGTTCTTTTTATTGTAGGTATGTGTCATGTGCATTGGGATGCCCATATGAAGGAAACGTCGTACCTGCTAAAGTGGCAGAAGTAAGAGTGAACTTCTAGCTTGTCTTTTTTTAATGAATCAAAAATACATTTTAAAATGTCTATGAGTAGTGTTCTCTGCTTAATCCTAAAAAGATCTTTAATGGATAAAATTTAAGGAAAACAAACGCAAAACATAGCTAATTCTAAAACTGGGTACATAACCTCACTCAACCATGTACAGTCAAATGTGCAGAAAATAATGTATTTCGATTGTTATCAGTCGTGAGAAAAAAAATATTATGTGCCATTTCCTCCAACAAGAAAGTACGGAAATGCTTAAGGAAATAGACATCAAGCACATATGTCAGTGTACCATGTTGTACAAGATGATTTCCGGCACAGTCTCTTGCAAAGGATATCTACTTTTAAATCCATTTTATGCTGGCATAAGCATACCAGCTACAGCTGGCAAAGCCACTACTACAACATTGTGCTTCTAGCGAGTGTCATGGGATTGACACATGAACCAAAACTCATCCCCAACATGATTCCTTAACTTGCTCTACTGCTATGATGGAATAAGTTGCACCTTCCCTCCCTGCCCTGTTTTCCATTTAGGATAAAGGGGAAGGAAGAAGATGTCTTGGTCCAGGAGAGAAAAAGATGAGTGAAACACAAGTGTTAAATTTTGCAGGAAGGCAAAGAGGGCATCAAAGCTGAAATGGACAGTAGAGAAGAAAGTGGAGAGAGAATTCAAGAGGCACAAGGCAGAACATGCTGACCTTCCTCCTGGAGAAAGACTGGTCTTCTCTGTTACACTTAATCGCCTGGTTTTGGTGACCTAGCAGAATCTCCAAACCACTTTTTTTTTCTTTGTAACACTAGCAGCTAGTCAACATTTTTCTGATATATTGTGTTCTGCATGTTGGCTTTGAGGTCCTGTTCTCCTGCATCTTCTTCTTGTATACATTCCAGATGGAACTTATGATAGTACTTCTCCCGCACATACACTCACACTCTGAAAAAAAATAGCTAAATTGGAAGATATTCAGTATTTCTAAATTAATTGGTTTTAATATGAAGTGAAAGTTAGAAGTGACACAGCTTTAGTTAGAGTAGTGATGACAGATTCAACTGTGCTGTTGGTAAATTGCTTACTGCAAGATCATGTCCCCCAACAGGCTTCTTTCCATGTGTTGCTTGTTTTTTAAAACTAGCTACTCTCCTTGTGCAGAAGAGCTCCTTTTCAGTTTGCCAGTGGGAGTGCTGTTTAATGTTCCAAACCTGCAAACTTTTACTCACACAGCTATTTTATTTTCTGTCTTCTTCCTAATAAGTGTCTTCTCGCATACCTGTGCACCACTGTGTATGTGTTTAAGAATAAAAGCTACCTCATTAAAGTTATTAATTCAGGCCCTGATTCAGCGAGCAGTGATGTTTATATAAAAGCATCTGATGAGCTGTTAATGGATTTTACATAAACACATGCATTAATCCTTTGCTGAATCAGAGTTACCAAAATTACTGGCCGTCTTGCTAAACCCTTTCAGAGAGGTGCTCCTCTGGTCATTGTCTTTCTCGGGGTGGGAGCATTTTCGTAGAATCATAAAATCATTTAGGTTGGAAAGCACATTTAAGACCATCGAGTCCACCACTAAACCATGTCCCTAGGCACCACATCTACACATCTTTTAAACACCTCCAGGGATGGTGACTCCACCACTTCCCTGGGCAGCCTATTCCAGTGCTTGACAACCCTTTTGGTGAAGAAATTTTTCCTAATATCCAATCTAAACCTTTCCTGGCGCAACCTGAGGCTGTTTCCTCTTGTCCTATTGCTTCTTACTTGGGAGAAGATACCAACCCCTACCTCACTACAACCTCCTTTCAGGTCATTGTAGAGAGCGATCAGGTCTCCCCTCAGCCTCCTCTTCTCCAGGCTAAACACCCCCAGCTCCCTCAGCCGCTCCCCATCAGACTTGTGCTCCAGACCCTTCACCACCTTTGTTGCCCTTCTCTGGACACGCTCCAGCACCTCAAGGTCTTTCTTGTAGGGAAGGGCCCAAAACTGAACACAGCACTCGAGGTGCGGCCTCACCAGTGCCCAGCACAGGGGGATGATCTCTGCCCTGGTCCTGCTGGCCATACCATTCCTGATACAAGCCAGGATGCTGTTGGCCTTCTTGGCCACCTGGGCACACTGCTGGCTCATGTTCAGTTGGCTGTCGACCAACACCCCCAGATCTTTCTCTGCAGGGCAGCTTTCCAGCCACTTGTCCCCAAGCCTGTAACGTTGCCTGGGGTTGTTGTAACTCCCTTGACTGTGCATTGCAATCAGCAGCTGTGATTGAAGGGCTTAGACTGTTTCTTCTGCAGTCAATGACAGTGACCAATTCTTTTTTTTTAAGCAAAAGATTTTTTAACTGAAGCAAAAGCAATTAGAAGAGGTGAATTATTAACCAGATGACATGCATTTCTGGCATACTAGATACATCACTGTTTTACACATAGTTATCTAGTGAGTGCAGACTTCAGATGCCTTCAGACTTCTAGAATCCATCAGGTATATCCATATGGCTCTTCATTTAAAAAAATCCCAAACAATTCTCATCTCTTAAAATAAACTGCATAGTCCTTTTTTATCACTCCACTGCTTCTTGAAATGGAGTCACTGTTTAACCGTTTATCATCCTGTGGTTTCTGAATTTCAACCTTAGGCAGATAAGGCTTGAAAGTTGTTGGAAGCACTGTATAACATCCTTGAAGCCAGTTGTGTTATCCATTGTCTTCCAGTCATATACTTGGCTGTTATCTTTCTGCCTGCTTCTTTCTCTCCTTAGCTTCCTTTTAACTTAAAGCAGTGAATTCATTTAAGTATTATCCATCATACAGGCTGATAAGGCTACAGAAAAAGTACCTACTCTTGTTTGAATATTGTTGGTTTATTAAAGTTTCCCTTACAGCACAAGGACTGCAGTGTGGTTTTATGTTGTTATTTGCTTAAATAATCTGTAACTGGATTATGACCTTTTATATGCAATTTAAGAGTATAGTTTTAGATATTTTTTCCAGCAGTAGAATTGTTCACATGCCTAAGAGGTTGCAGTGTTGGGTCACCAACTCCCATTTTGATCAATGCTTGGTGTCAGAACAGTGTTCCCAAAGGGAGTAGCACACGACTCGTGTAGTAAAAGTGCTTAGTGGTGCAGAACACAACCCTGTTCAATCAACAAAGCTGCAAGCTCGTGATCACATCCTGATTAAACTAACAAAACAGTGTGTTCTCTTCTCCCTCACCCTCCTCCCAAAAATCCACATTGAAAACTTAGAAAACTAGAACTAATGGGCTGCCTCCTACTATGGTAGGATAGAAAATCCAGTATGAAAAACTCCCATTCAACTTCCAAGCATGCACATTCTTCTTCAAATTAAATATAGATCTCCTTTTAAGGGTCAATTTAAGGTTAGATCATGACAAGTCAGTGATGATGCTCAGCTTGTTAGCAGTTTCCCCCCTCTTTTCTTTCATCTTTCAGAATTTTATTTTCAGAAAGCTGACAGATCGAAGGACTAAGCATGGGAAAGAAGTGAATGCAATATGATTTCTAGTAGTTTATATAGTCTCTTTATCATCACTAAAATGCTCATCTGGAAAAACTTTGAATCATAAATCCAAAAGAACATGAGAAAAAAATGCAGTCTGCTTCCTTCACCCTGTTTTTAAACAAAAACTGAGGTTTGGGGATTAACTAGAGGTAATCCACCACTAACTGCAGATGATCCTTTTTTTTTCTTACAACAGTAGTGCAGCTAAAGCACCTGCCACGTGTTGATAATATAAAAATATACAGTGAGATATAATCCCTTTTTGCAATCTGGTGAATGTCCCTTTCTTAAAACATATATTGAATTTATGTTGATACAAACCAGGAGCTCTTTGACTTTAAAGCACAAAGACTTTTACTACATTTGCAATAGTCGTAGCACTTCCAAGCTTTAAGGAACACGATTCAGACTACTTGAAGTTCTTTTTCAGCTGTTCTTTGAATTAAGTGAACAGCAATATTAATCCAGCACTTCCGAGACTGCTGGTGCAGCACTTTGTCAGCTTCCTCAGACATATTCACAGCAATCCCACTGATGAAGTCCTGGAATTGCTTTAACAGCAGAGTACAGTGCAACTGAAGATGTCTTGGAAAAGGGTCGTATTTTCTCATTTCTAAACAGTTAATTGCCAGACTGGGATTCCGTTCCAGTGGAGTGGCCTTTCAGGATCGCTGATACACAGTGGGGAATCCTAAAGGGGACAAACATACTTAGCAACTAAAACTAAGGTGAAACCCTTTCCAAATAAATTCAACAAAACTAAGAGGTAAAAATCCAACGTTCAATTTGTAAAGCAATGTTTTTGGTGCTAACATGATTTTGTGCTTCCAAGTGTATGTGTCTCTCCATACAAACATTATGGAGCCAGACCTCAAATCTCTTACTCATACAAAGAACTCTTCAAAAATTTAATTTCAGAAACATTTAGGGCTCTACTTACATAAGTAAGAACTATTTGTACATGGATTTTTTTGGTATTAAGAAAACTTTTAAAACTAAAAGACTAGAATGCTAATTAAGTTACAGTTTTGCTTTGTTAGCATTTTAATGTTTGATTTAATGAAAAGCAAGCAACATTAATATTAATTATAACATGTTAAAACTTCAGTTTTCATTGATGTTTTCAGGGCCAAGAGAAAGCAAAATCAGGCTTGCTTCTTCTTAATTATTTATTGTCTTAGTTCAGCCATATGCTTGGCTCCGTGTAACAAGCAAACAAAAGGGCAGGTCTTTACCCTGTAGAACTTGTAAGCTGAAAAATACACAGAGAAAACCAAACAGCTGGGAAATCCCCAGAGAGAGGAAAATGTTGGGAAAGGGCTTGACAGCAACTTAATTCATAGTGTAAAATTTTGCTTATTTGGATTCTGTGGGAGAGTCAAAAAGCAAGTTTTTGATGAATTTGGCTTGGTTGGTTATTCCATGTACAGAAGCAGAACTATAAATTTAAAATAAGATGATCTATGGGATGTTCTTATTGGTTCACAATTTTCAAGAATGAATAGAGGGTTTCTGATATATAGGTCCACCTTGGTGGGTCAAAACTTGAAACCTGTACAGAAGTATGTGCTTTTTAATGTATATTCTTGACCCTATTTTATATTCTTTCATCTTGACCTCTTTGCGTTTCTCTGTTTCTAATCAGGTATCTAAGCGACTGTACAGTATGGGTTGTTACGAAATCTCTCTGGGGGATACAATTGGTGTGGGGACTCCTGGAAGTATGAAAAGAATGTTGGAAGCTGTTATGAAAGAAATTCCTCTGAGTGTCCTTGCTGTTCACTGTCACGACACGTATGGCCAGGCGTTAGCCAATATCCTCACAGCCATACAGGTAACTCAGGTTCTCATTTTATACATATGATAGTAGTAGTCTTAGTTTCATTCAAATGCACAGTTTAAAAAAAACCCTACCCTTAAAGAAATCATTAGAAGAGGAAAAAGGCACTCACTAAGTTTTCAGAAAGTATTGCTCACACATCAGATTGTCTACAGATATTACTGCTGTTGCTTTTGCCAGAAAATGTCAATCCTTGTCTATTTATTACCTTCAATTCCATACAAAATCACTAAGAAGCAGTGATGATTATTATATTCTATTGATTTTGAATGAAAGAAGGACATAAAATATATTTTTTCTGATGCCTCAGATTCAACTTTTCTTAGGAACATCTAGGGGTTTTGTTACTAAACTAAAATTTCTATTTTACAGAGGTGTCTAAATATGAAATAGATTAATGTATAATTACATCTTGATTTCAGATGGGTAAATCTAAATTATTGCTTATTACATACACAGAGTGGTCTGGATAACTTTATCACTGTTAACATGCTTTCAGTATGCTTTTTGATTTATCAGTTACACCTTCCAAATAAGATTGCCAACAACTTTATATCCTATTTAATCTTCTTTTAATCAATCTGTGGCTAAATGATCAGAAATAGTTAATTTCCATGAGAGATATTTTTCCCTTTGTGTTTATATAATTTTAAGAATAGGACACAATACAAGAAACAGACTACAGGTTCTAATGTCATTTTTGTAAAGGTATAATCTTGAAAAATATCTTAATGTGTACATGCATTCCTAAGGAGACTATTTTTACTAAATGTTACAGAATCAAAGGCTGTTTACAAATTGTAGGCCTTTATTGTTCTATTTTATACTTAATGGCATCTTCTGCTTCCATGCAATTCAGGCAGCTGTTTTTAAAGTCAGCTTTCCTTTTTCTGACTTGTTATTCTGGCAGAGCTCATATTATGTTGTTTAGAAGTAACAGCGGGATGTTAATAGTATTAGTGATATAAGCCACAAGAAGGAACAGGGAAAGTTTCTATATGGAAATCTGCAGGTATTTGATTAAATAGTGAATGACAAAATCTGATAAAAAAGGTTCTAACTTTTACTCACAGTGTTCACTATTCACCCTTACTCATTTTTACTGTTGCAAATGTGTGTATATGTACCATGGGATAAATAAATTGCTAATTTCACAGTTAGCTTCAGTTGCAGATGTAACAGCTAAAAGCACGAAAACCCCTGAGCATGGCAGGAGTTTGCCATGAAAATACTGGAAGCATTGTTTTTCAAATCCTTCCTTGAAATAATTGCTGTCATGGTGCCTACTAAACCCTGAACAATGGCTATGCTTTGTTAACCCCGGTATTTGTTTTCAGTGATTCTTGTCTCATGTTTACCTCCTGCTTCAATCTTTTTATTTACTTCTGAAATCAACTGTGTAAGAGTTAAAGGAGAAAAAAGCTCTTAGGTACCTACTGTGCAGTTCAGGCTAATTAACATGCAAATTCAAGAGAGTGGTAGACCTAAAAAAAAATAAATTCCTATGCAGGCTTCTCAGGTTTCTAGGAAGCCAGGGGTGCCTGAGACCCACCAGAAAAATTCCCTATGTGCTCAAGTTCTGCTACGGTGCATGTCTAAAGGTGCGGTGCTTTTGGCTGAGCTGAGCTTGTCATAGATTTTGCCAAAAGCCCATGATGAAGCAGGCATTACACAGTCTCTCTGACTGGCTTTGTACAAGCAGCTCCTTGGCTCGCTCTAAAGGTAGGTCCCCAGGCTCTTGGATCCTCAAATGGGGCCCATACCTCACAACATCCTTTCCTGTCTCTGGTCAAAGAAACGAGGCAGCTAACGGTAAATTATAGCGAAGCAATACTCTTTCTAAAACAGGACAACTTTTACAGGTCAGACGGGTGGTCAAGTGCCAAAGCCAGTGCATCAGAGTGCCCAGGTCACTTGTAGTCCCTGCTGGCAGGCTTGCCTGTGCTTTCCTCTCTGCCAAAGATACAGAAATGGCGAAGTGCTGGAATAAAACCTCTTGTCTTCAACTCAGCCATTTGTTTCATAGACTTGACTCTCCACAGATGCAATTCCTTACCCTTCCTCCTTTATGGGTCTGTGCAACTGACACGGTATTTCATCAGGAGTGAAATGTATTGGAGGGGTTATAGAAATAATGGGCTATGGTTATTGTTTGAAAACAAGTTTAAAGAATATTCATCAGGCAAATTACACTCTTCCTAAGACATTGCATACTCCAATCTCAGGCTGAGTACTATTGAGTTGTATATTGTATTTCCTAAGAATTAATGAATGACAGCTGGAAAGCCACAAATCACTCTGCACTAATTCAGGCATTGCTTCGATGGGAGATCTCCTAGGAGCAGAAAGAGATCCTAGTGATTCAGTAAGTGATTTTTTATACAGATCACATTGTTCCATGCAGGATTATACTACCCAGAATGTTTTCTTTTGTTTGGGGCTGATCCAAAGTCATCTAGAACTGACAGGCCGTATCTGTATAAGAAATTAGCAGGGAAGTAGTCTTGTAATTTTAGTATTCAGTTTTATGTGTGTTGTTTTAGCAAAAGGATAGGTAGTGAAAGATGGAAGAGAGATTAGCCAACTTTTAAAGGATAAGTACTTTTTTAAGTTGTGGAAGTGAATAGTATAGATAGAAAGCACTGCCTAGAGAAAGGAAATTCACTTTCTTTTGCGAAGAGAATCTGTGTAAAAATATGAGGAAGTGATCCTTCAGAACAAAACAGTAAACATTTAAAGCATAAACATGACTGGCTCTGGTTAAATGGTTTAATGTAAAAATATCAGAGTATGCAATTTACCGAGGCGACAAATTCAGAAGATGGGAAGTGATGTGGCTATCTTGTTAGAGGTTGTGGTATTTTGAGTAGAATTATATACATGGGTTAGGTAATGTGACAAACACAAAATGTAGCTAAAAGAAGTAGTAAAACATGTATAGGAAATTGTTACAGACCTCCAAGGAAGGGTAAAAAGATGGGTCAGGAAACTTCTGTGCTTGATAAGCCCCAATACGGTAGACCATTGATCTGAGGAGATTTGAGTTACCTTGACAATTGACTCTCATAGCATGTACAGAATGGGTAAGAAAAGGGAAATTTTTTAATGGAGTGATACAGAACTCTTTTCTTGCATAGCTTGTGTAGTTGCCAGAAATAACTTTGTCTCTTTTCATAGCGCATATCCGAATGTGAGAAGGAATATGCTAAGAGGCAAAGAGGAGTTTTGGCCAGCAGTTATACCTCAAGGAATGAAACAATCCTATGGTAATCCCATAGAACTTTATCAAATTCAAATTGCTATCGTAATTCATTAATATAGACTGATCCCTACACTACTGAGATCAAATCCTAACTTAGAGAAAACAAGCATAAAACTCTAATGACTTACAGGGAGCAAGGATTTTTACCACCTTGTGTAATCATTTCCACCTTATTGGACACAATGAGATGAATGACATTGATGATTTGCCAAATTAAATTACTCTTTGTTAGCGCTTTCTTTTTCCAGAAAGCAAGAATTTTGAAATAAAATCCACACTTTAGTACCAGAAAAAGAATTTAGCAAGCATCTAATTAAACTTTAAAGATTCAGACTGCAAAATCCTAGTTTGTGAATACAGGTTTTCATTACAAATATTATAATATATCCCCTTACAGACAGTATAAAATATTTAATAATATTTTGTTAATGTCTTTAGGATCCTTGAATCTTAAAGATTAAATAAACTTTTTTTTTTTTAAATCCAGATAGAAATGGCTGACTGCTGACCTCTTCCCTTCACCTCTTAACTAAATAGATTATAGCCCCTTTGGTGCATGCTGGTGAGTCTAACCAACTTGCATATTTTTGTGCCTCCAGTTTATTTATGTGGTAAGGGCTAGGTTCACATACAGGCACTTGATGTTGATATGGCTAGGTTTTAAGTGCCAGAACCAGGAGGAGAATTTGAATGTAGATGCTGAAGTTCATGGTTTATTAGTTCACAAGGACCATTGTGTTACAGGAAAAGAGTTCAGGACAGCAGCCTGAAATTGTAGAGCCTAAGTTAAGTAACTGAAAAAAGACTGTGTTTAAAATTCATTCCTCCATGATTCATGTGAGCTTATATGTGAAGCCTTAGATGAGATGAATTTTCCACCCAAAACCAGCTCCTATGTGTAAGTACCTAGCTTGTCCTTTTTTTTTTCAAATACAGGATTTGCTGTTTGTAGATGTTGAGCTTGCCTGTAGTGACAGGCTGTCAAGACCCCTTTCAGCTGGTGATTAGAGGCCACTTTGCTGCTAAGATCTCTTGTCCAGGAGTTGCTCGCTGCTAAGGAGCCTCAGTGGGATCTTCCCCTCCTTCACTTGGCTCTGGCTTTAAACCTGAAGCTCTTGTGCTTGGCCCCTGTCTGAGCTATTACGCTGCAGCGTCGCAATTGCACTTGCTCCCAGTCTTGTATCTCCTGATTCTCACCCTCATCCTCACCTGCTGGCTTGACTTACTGATTTAGCCTCAGACCTGGCTGATCTGTGCCTGATCCCAGTTACTATCTCCAGCCCTGATCCTGACCTTGAATCACTGACTCAACTTTCTGGCTCCTTTTTTGGTGAGGTTGCTGTAACTGCCTGCCTAGCTGTGACCCTTGGCCCCTCGCTTGCCTTTCTTTATGGAACAGTCCGTCCTTGCTGATGCTCAAGACAGTCAAGTCTTTAGAGGAAGGACTAGCAACCAATATCTTGAGCTTTAAGAATGCTTCTGAATGGCAGGGAGGTGGAGTGAGTGCTGAGCTGGGAGATACAGCAGTTGTGAGAGTTCGCAGGTCCCACGTGCTTTGATCTTGGAGCTCAGCTGGAGGCTTTCTCTTGCAGAGAGATGAGATATTGCTATTCAGTTAAATCCAGAAAGCATTTCGTGGTGTCTGAGTGTACATAAAGTCCTAACAATTCTGCACTGGGAACTCTGTTGAGTCAAAAAAAGAGTCCAGAAATCAGCCTGAGGAATTGGTGTC